TATTTTTCTCACATTTCTGTTTGCAGATTCAACACAAAGCAAGTCTAATGCGCGCACGGTGTACCTCATTTCCTGACCATCATATCTCAAGATTCCAAATCTAACATCCCAGATGTGCCCTCCTTATGGTGAACCCCAGGGAACCATCCTCACTGGATCCAGCGTAAACAATCTGGGCTTGTTATTGGGCCTAGGGATTTCTGACTCCGCATCCCCCATTTTTACTGTTTCAGGCCCATTCATTTCTTTTTGTTTTTTCTTTATTTTATTTCTATTATTTTCTTTTGTATCAAAATAATAAAAAAAAACAAAAGTATTTTCTAAAATAAATAATTAAATTGATGAAATTTTATTTAATGTTATTAGTTATTTTATTAATTAATTTCATTAAATAAAAATGATTTAGTTTAATTAGTAATTTAATTAATTAGGTTTTTAGGCTTAAGTTAATTCCTTTTTTAATTAATTAAGTAAAATTAATTAGTTTTTTAGATTAATCACAAATGTTTCTTTTTTTCATAAAAACGATAAAAAACAATTTATTTTCCCATTTCTCGTTTTACCGCTTCACGTACTTTATATTCGCATTTTCTCCAAATTATGTAACTGCTAATGGTTTGTAATAGTTCTAACTAGGGTTTACTGTTCCCCCCCCCCCCCCCCCCATTTTTATGGTTTGTACTCCCCATCCCCAAATCATTGTAATAGCGTAGGTTTTATTTCCCGCACTTTTACTTTCTGCACCTATAACTATGCATGTATGTATATAACTGTATAGTAATTAGGCATGTATGATAAGACTAAAAGCAAACGCTAGATAACCATAAATCCAAGACAAATTAACTGAAATCAAAACACGATTCACACATGCACCTCTAGGGTGACCCCTACTTGTTGCCTCGGATAAAAACAGTCATGTCTCTCGAACGTGGGACGCTTTAACAAAGACCCTCGGTTAAAAGATCGTATTCCCTCGATGAACCTTCGATTCTACCTCGATAAAACGATCTTAGTCCCTTACGACAATTTCTAAAGCATCCTACGAGTTGCCTTTATGATTGTACGATGACCCGCGCCTGTCCCTCAAACATTCAATGATAGGGCTTCCTACTAACTAATGGTAGGATAGCACTATCTAAGGGAGAGGAGGAAAAGAACAAATACTTTTGAGTAGGTAGATAACTCGTAGACGCTTGCTCACAAATCAAAAACATTTTTCACACATACACTCTTTCTAAAATATTTTCAAAACAAACACTTTGTATGTGTTCTCAACGATACGAGAATCATTACAAAGTTTCCGAACGTATGCATTTTTTAAAATATTTTCAAACACATACACAAAAGCAAAATTTCAAACAAAGTGAGCTAGCGACTAAGAGCCCGTGGATAACTACGGATGAAAAGGGTGCTAATACCTTCCTTTTTCATAACCTACCCCCTTACTCAGAAAAATTATCAAAGGTATTTCATGTTCTTTTCACCCTTTCCTTTATTGGATAAAAGAAAAGTCGGTGGCGACTCTTGTTATCTGCAACATTTACGACAAAACGCAAAACCAAAAGTCAGTTCTCCTACCGTATTACACCAGTAGTGTCCTTTTCAAAAGGGATGACATTTTCGTCGACTTCAGTAGGAAGAAAAGATTCACCTATGGGACGAAGGCCGGTAATGTCCGCAATTTCGAGTAAGGTGGGGGTAAGCATACCAGTTGCAAAATGGAAGGTGTTTGTGGAGCCTTCCCAGAAATAAAGTGCAGAAATCAGCATGTAATTACAATAATTGGGGCCAACCCTAGAAAGCTGAATCAAATTAAAAATGCATTGAGCTTTCCAAACACCACCTTTAATTTTCTCAACATTGTTTAACCATGCAATGTAATCTTGGTTGACAGTAGGAGCAGAAAGGAAAACCTTAGAAGTTCAGTAAATATGCAAAAAATCTATGGGGCAGTCTCTGTTAATGGGAGGTTTTGTGGCCTTATGAGTGGGGAAATAGCCTTCCAGTTGTTTAGGTGCTCTAATTTCATTAGGAATAGGTCCCAAAAAAGCATAAGCGGTTTACTTACATATGAAAGGGAGCAACACTTGAGAACGAAAAGTTACAAGGTTTCGTGACTGTGTTGGTTCTAAAATGAAAGTGTTTTGGATATCAACGAAGAAATCATCCATGTGGGAGATTATTCAATTTCATCATGTGTTTGAATGTGTTCAGTGAGTTGGCTTGAAGTAGCCATGAGGACGATTGAAAGTTTTTTTGAAAAAAAAATGGAAGTAAGAAGTTGTCTTTGAGATTGAAACAGAGAGTTTGAGAATGTAGAGAGAGCATAAAAAGTAAATTGAAGAGATGAGAAGGGTATTTATACCATCAAGAAAACCAAAAGTTTGGGAAGAAAGTGGGAAATATATGGCTACACGACTAGCACGTGTCAAGCAGGTGACAATTGATTGAAGAAGTTGTTGAGTTAAAGGCCACGTTTATCCTAGGAAGTTGAAGTTAAAAAGTAGGGTAGTGACCGTTTGTTCGCAGATGTGGTGTTTGAGAGAAAAGTCATGATTACGATGACATCAGTTCATACTAAGTAAGAAGGACTAAAATGTCCATTCCTACCATTTCCAGTCGAAAAGGACATTTTAGGGAGCAATTTGTTGGCTGAGATTTTCAACAAGGACCAAAATCAAACCAAAAGAAAAGGATCAAAAAGGTTCTTTGAAAAAGGCGGTTTATGTGATTTGACTACTTATACAGTCGATCTAGGGAGATTTTATAAGTAAGAGATTGAGCATGAAAACAGAAGCAGTCAACTAGGAAAAATCTCATAAGTCATTGGGCCTAGAAACGCCAAAAGGCCTTAAAGATCCATCAAGCAAGCAAAGCGTTTTTTTGAGGGAAACATAGAGAATGTGGGTTCAAGAGTATGAATGGAGAATGTGGGATCATTGAGAGGAGTTACAAGATATACGTGGCGTACAAAGAAGCGAGTTCCACTAGAAAGTAGTTATTTTTTATGTATTATAAATAAAGCACTTAGTGCATAGTGTTAGGGTTTCAAACTATCAAATTCCTATACACTAGTCACTCAGAGTATCCAAAAGAACGAGCGAAATGAGTCAAGCTAGGGAAATATATGTTTGAATCAACTTATTTTCAACTATTTAGATGTTATGTCATTTATGTTTATAGTTTGAAACGCTTTTCGTTTTATTTTACAAGTATTGCTTTATTGCTTATAAACTCGTTTGACACCAGTCGAACGAATCCTTTTTGAACACTGCAATACGGTGGGAGAACTGACTTTTGGTTTTGCATTTTATCACAAATATTGCAGATAGCAAGAGTCGCCACCGACTTTTCTTTTATCCAATAAAGGAAATGGTGAAAAGAACAAGAAAAACTTTGAGAATTTTTTTGAGTAAGGGGGTAGGTTATGAAAAGGGAAGGTGTTAACATCCTTTTCATCCGTAGTTATCTACGGACTCTTAATATCTAGCTCGCTTTTTTGAAAATGCTTTGTGTTTGCGTGTTACATAAACTAAACTCGACTTATATACTATCACAACATAAATCATCGATGTTGATTATCTTTGTAGTAATTAACATGTGTCCTCCTACGTGGGCTCCATTATTCTAATTGCTTCCACGCGTCTTTAACGTTTGAATTGCTACAAACCATTACATATGCTGGTAACTACCTTTAATCTCCTAACTGCCTTTGTCAAGAATATTCAATCAAATCTTGCAGTGGTTCCAAAATGTTTCTAGTTCACCTGTGCTCTAGAAAAAATACACATAAGTTTATAACATTTGATGGGCACCTTGAACTCGACACTTCTACACATCAACTTCACGTCGAGGTGTTGATTTGTTCAACCTTTTTCGAGATTCTGGACATGTTTTGAAGAAAGAGTGATCTTAGTCTTATGGATATGTTCTTGAGACTCCTCCAAACTAGACTTAATATTTTTCTAGGCTATCTAAAATTTGAACTAAAAATGTCAAACTCAACCCTTTCAGTCGAAGTTATCAAATCGTCAAAACTCTAACCTAATCATCTTGTACTTAACTTTTTCACTCTTTTTTTTACACTTTTTATGTCGAGAGTTGAGATTTAAATTCTCAAGCTAACACATATACAATGATTCAAGTTTTTCCTACATTGAAATCAGAGTCTTCTCCCTGGCGACTTTTCTTGGAACTTTATCCCGAAGCACAAGATAATGACACTATTAATGTTATCCACTATCTCAGTATTCTCGACTTGTGTCAAGTGTGCATGCATCGATGCCTCATCCTTCAATGTGTCAACATTTTTTTTGAATTAAAATTGCTTACATCTTCACTTTCCACAATTCAAAATCGTTGTTTCTGAAACCCTTCTCAATATTCTATTTAGAATCCATGGTGCTCACTTGTAAATTATAAACCACTTTGCCCCTACGGTGGACACCACTTATTGCAAATTGAAAGGTTCAACACATCAAGACCTTCTCATTGTGAAGTATGATAATATATCAACCACACCAAAAATATTGTTTTGTGTGAGATAAAGAACAAATACAATTAAACTAAATGACCCCAAGAAAAAAACTAACTTACCAAATAGTGTAAGAAAATTCACAATAAATAAAAGGAAGATAAAACGTGAGTACATAATTTTTTTTGAAAAATTATTATAGGAGATTACAAATGAGTTACAAGAAAATAGTCTCTCAAGTTTCCAAAAATAAACTCTATTTTCTATCAAGTGTTTTTCAATCTCTCCAACTCTATACATAAATCACACAAACTCAACGTATTTAGAAGTATTTCTCAATATCCTTAAATACCTCAAACGTTTGACCGAATTAAAAGAACTCCAAAGAATTTATATCATTGCTTCTCTAACTAGAATTACCACCTCTTTCCCCAGCCTTATCTTATTCTCTTCTAAAAATGATAGAGAACCATGTTTATAATATTTTAAAACTCAAATTGGCTAGATTTCCAAAACGGGCCTAAAAATGACTTATTATCGAACTAATACGCGAACTGAACTAACCCGACCCTTGACCCGAGAATCGCCCAGACTGTCAGCGTCGCTCGATTGCCCACCGTCGCCTAGCCATCAAACCATTGTTATTTTGATGACAATCACTTTCAATGTGTGTCACCACCGCCCGTCAAAGATCCTTCGTCGCCACTTACCAGACTCCAACACCACCACTGACCACTCTCAACCGACTCGCTGGACTGTTGCTTTATGGCTTTGGCATTGCGACATACTCCATCGCACCACCGCCCCTGCAATTTTGGCGCAATCAATCCTCCTACATCAAAATTCTCAGATCTTGAAAATATATTTTCCTATATCAATATCACTATGTGTAGTTATACTAAGTCAAACAAGCATGGTGACATAATTGAAAATTCACCGTGTGTTCATATTTTTATTAGAGGAGCACTAATTTATCAGTGACATCCTCTTCTTGTGAGTCAGGCTACTAAGGAACATCACTTACGATTTGTTTGTTTGAGGAGAGATAAAGGCGAGAGAGATCGAAGAAAGAAGTATAGAAAAAATGTCATATTTTTCCGATTTGGCACAACAAAGAGATAAAGTAGAAAGAGTAAAATAATGTAGGACCCATGCTTTTTCTTTTCTTCTCCTGCGAAGAAAGATGAGAGAGTTGAGCTCATATTAAATTTTCCAAGTTTGTCCTTTTCTCTTCACATTTTTCAGGCATTGGCAAAATAAATTATTACTACTACAAGTGGTTGACTAATTATAATTTAATTTCAATTTTTATTTATTTATAAATATACGTGTTAGTTTGCAATAATATTATTTGTTTATTTTTAAATTTTTTAATTAAATTAAAATAAAATCTATATTTAGATTTCTATAAATATTAAATTTAAATATAATAAAATTATATACTTTTAGTACAAGGATATTTTGGTCTTTTTAAAAGTTCAACACACTTCTTTCTCTTCTATTTCTCTTATATTTCTCTTATACCAAATAATACATCAAATCTTCTATATTTCTCTCTTTTCACACTCTTTCTCATCTATTTATTTCTTCACACTTTCTTCTCACCACCAAACACACCCTTAATATTTGTCAAGTAATTCGAATTATAAATTTAGTTGAAGAACTCAACAATAAAAAGTGTGAAGCTGTGACAATAAGGATTGGCAATATTTCTACAATAAATTTGACTAAAAATCTCACTGCACACGAGATAAGTAAACATGTGGAAATAAGATTACATTACTTGAAGCAAGTAAGCAAAACAAAGTTAAAGTTGGACCACCGCAAAAGTGAGATTAAAGTGGCAAATTTGTTAACAAATAAAGTTATCATTGAAGTGTTTAAGAAATTGAGGAGCTTAATAGAAATTAAGGCATTGACCAACATGAATTAAACTATTAAAGTGTGTTATTAGTTCATTTTAGTTAGTCTTGCCCCACTAACTTTCTACACAAGTTATTGAGTTTGTTTTGTTTTAAATATTCTATTATGACAGTTATAATGCTGTTAAGATAATAAAAAAGTTGTTAATTCGGTTGTTAATTCAAAAGTGTTAGAGAAGAACGCTTTAATGTGCAATTCTATTCATTTTCTCTAATTCTCTCAAAGTCTCTCTCAATATATTTTCTCTTTTCTTGGATCAGGTGTGCGATTCAATTGACTGAGTAATGAAGTGTTCTAGTTCCAACAAAATTAATTCCTACTTAAAAACAATCAAATATATCAAAGTTAGTTTTACTCTTCTAATAACATACAAATATGACATTATTGATGCTTATGTTCTGAATTTCATCCATCCTAAAGTTACTATCGCTTTCAATGTTGTCTATAAGCTCCTATCCAAGGTTAGCAAATAGGTTAAAAGCCTACATATATATAAAGCTATGTTTGAATTGATTTAGAACACAACTGAGAAATGAAACATGATAAAATAGAATAGTGCGGTGCAAAATAGAATGAAGTGGAATGGAACATATATTCTATTCTATTTTGTGTATTTTTTATAATTTGACAGAACGGGTCAGAATAAATTAGTTCATTCCATTACATCATTGCATATGCCCCAAATTATGTGGAATGAAAATTGAAGGATAGAATGACGGATTTCATCATATTTCCTCTGCTTCATCCATTATTTACAAATCCAAAAAATCGGATTATATACAACTCCATTTCATTCCATGAGACTCCACCAATCCAAACTTACCCAATCCAAACCTACTCTAAATGTCATCTTAATTATTTATTTATATGAGACATGCTAGCAACACATCTACGTCACACTTATCTTAATAAACACCCTATTATTTACTTTTTGAAATTTAAATGAGTCTATAACAAAAGATCTGGTTATCCTTCATTTTCCTTTATCTACTTTAAGCATGCAAACACTTAAAATTTACTCCAATTTTTATCCTACACAAAATAGGTCCATTTTATAAAGGGTATGGACTCTGTATGTACAACATACAGCCTTGCAAATATTTACAAGCATGTTACATGGTGATGATAAGTTTCTGCATCATATTGTCTATCAACTTCACGTAACAGCAGAAATTGTCAGGCTTGTGATTCAGCACGATCATTCAGTAAAATGCAAACTGCAAGGCTTTGACTAATATTAGATACATACTCATATATTTTACCAGCGACAGATCCCAGGTGCCTCTGTTCTGCTCAGTTTCACTATTTCCTCATATTTTGAAGGATATACAAAGCCCCACAACTGCATGGAGGAAAGAGAATTCGCTAATTAGTTCTTTTAAGTTTAAGTAAATGTTTCATAGATATGGAGGGAAACAAATGAGCCACAACAAATTAATAAAAGAGAACGAAAAAAAAGTTGGAGAAGTTCGGATGACTGAGTGAAGGAGATTTATGTGTACCTCTACATCTTTCACTTGAAATTCTGGAGAATGTGCTAAGCAAGGATTGTTGTAAGTTTCAGAGACGGAACTCGACCCATTCAATCTTGAGTTGATATGTCAAAAAATTGTAACAGAAAAAATCAGGGCCACAGAGGGTGAAAAAAAGGATAGCATATCCAATTACAAAGTTCTTACAGATCACCGTCCAAATAAAGCGCAAAATGACCTCCCCCGCCAAAAGCTAGAAAGTCAGTGGTGCAAAGTGTGAAGTAACGGTTTACTCCTGCAATATTGTGGTTATTTAGTATAGTTAATTAAGAGAAGAGAAACAGCATTGGAGTTCCAAAGCAACCCAGATTTTTTCTTTCTACCATCATGTGGATCAAGAACTAAGATGTAATATGGGAGTGACATGTGTGTGATTTTAACTTTATCACATTTTAAAGCTTAAGTAACGCCTCATGCTGATGCTGAATTTCATAGAAAATTACACTGCTAAATGTCAAACAATATTGCATCAACTTTTTGTGGGCAACTACAATAGGAGAATGTCAACTGCTTGAAAATAGAAAACCATACTTCATTTTTTGAATAAAAAATCAATTGATGGAGACTGTCTAAGATGCCAAGAAATTCATCATTTTTAACAGTACCTTTAGACAAATTAGTCCCAGATTAAAATTAAATCTAGCTGTAGCTGACAAAAAATCAATGCGTGTAAGTGTCTCTGTGTAAGTGTCTCTGAAGTCAAGAGAAAAGTAAAATCAAGCTTTCCTCATGACATGACACCTTTAGCAAGATGTGTCACAATCTCATGACTATCCACAAATGTAAGGAGGCTTCTATTTTCAAAGCCAAAGAATGAGGGTGGCGAGATGGGATTCTAACATAGCCAGATTCCGAGTAGCAAAAGCACCATGTTGTTAAATTAAACATGTTTTGTAGCTTATTTCTAAAATGTGCACAACATAACCTGTGAGAATACCATGTCGTTAAAACTGATAATTTCTCATCAAAACAAATGAACTTTGAATAAATTCGCTCCTCATCCACATAGTTTTGTAAAAGGAAAATTAGAATATTCATTTAGTGATTTAGTCGTTCAACTAATACAAGTTATTGACAGACAGAACAAATTAATCAATGATTATTATAATATAAAAAAAAAAACACAGGACAATTATGAGAAAAATAGAAAGATAAAGAATAGAATGTTCAAACTCAAATAAACAATAGATACCTGTTGGGCGATATACAACGGGATGACCAGAGATATTTGTGAAAACAAATGTACTGTTTGTTCCCTGTACAAAGTTTATGTGAACAGTACAAAATAAAAGATAACATTAACACGGTCACAAAGTGAAGCAGCTAATAGTATCATAGTACAACATAAAAGGTAACCTGGTATTTTCTCTTGTTGGATGGTCGAAGGGGTGCTTCAACTAAGCTACCAAATACTGCTCCTTTCCGGTCTCCAACAACCTGGAAGAGAAAAACTAACAATACATTAAGGACCAATGGCTGAATGTAGAGTCTAGAACTCAGTATTGCTGACTAAAGAACACAAGTATGCATTTATCTTTGCAGATTAAAATTGGGCAGCTTAAGATTGTTTAATCAGTAAGCTTGCAAACATAGTCCCCCTTAAACTCGGTGTGCTTCTAATAGTTAGAATTGTCATGACTTTGTACTGATATACAAAAAGGATATGCCATAAATCAAAAGGAGTAGTGTAAAAGATGGGATCAATGATAAACTCAGTAATTCATCCATTCGAAGTCGCCGATGTCATGAATATGAAATGGGAAAGAGAAGTGATTATATCACTGTAAACCATCACGGTATTAATAGGTGGCATTAGAATACTCTTTGCATAACAGCAATATGAGGAGATTTTTTAAAATTTATAGCCCAATGCTAAATGGAACAAAATTCTGTTTAGGTACCCAGACATAAATCATACGCCAGTATCCATATGTTCAATAAATTTCAATTTGCTTCCACCACCAAACCCAATAGTCCTTTCTTAGATTCTGGCTAATTCGAATCCACATAAAACTTTGCCATGATTGAAATGTGCACCTTATGTCAGTTGGTATTTAAACTAAGCATTTAAATAACTGTGTTGCAAAATCTAACTCTAATCCATTGTGTTGTTCAATTTAAAATGGAACAAAATCTTATTTAGGTACCCAGGCAGAAATCATATGTCTGTATCCAAATGTTGAACAAAATTTCAATTTGCTTCCACCACCAAGCCCAATAGTCCTTTCTTAACTTCTGGCAAATTCAAATCCACATAAAACTTTGCCATGATTGAAATATGCACCTTATGTTAGTTGGTACTTAAACAAGCATTTAAAATAACTGTTGCAAAATCTAACTCTAATCCATTGTGACGTTCAATTTATCAATCAAATGAAGTCAAAGAGATTATCAATATGTCTAATTAAGTAGGAGATATCAAAAAAGGGAAAAACTATGAGTGACTGTCAACATGCAGAACAGACATAGATAAATCATAAACATCATAAATTTATGTGTGCTGGAGGGTGATGAAATTGTACCAGCAAACTCGGTCCAGGCCAAAGCATGCTTCTCCGGTAAAGAGTTGAAAGTGATATCCCATGTTTCCATGTGCTGCATTAAATGCAAAAAGGCAACAAAAGAATATCAATCAAAATATTAAATCAACACGATTATGCAACTTCAACACACAACATAATCTTGTGGTTACCAATAAACCTTCATCCAAAACTACCTGTACATCATTAACCATTTCCTCCCATGAATAAGAGACGGAAGCGAATCATAAACCACATTCCTCAAACTACTCGAAATCAACATCGAAGGTTCCGAAACATCCAGCAAACAATCAACCAAAGGCACACCAGGAACCTCTTTCACCGGCTGAATTCGTTTCATCTCAACACCACACCCATCACTTTCAAAACCATCCCTCCCACGCTCCTGATTCCGAAATCCACCCATTTTAGCAGCAGCTAGATAAATAGCCTTACCAAGTGATTGTCTACCTCTAGATAAGAAACCCTTCTTAACAACCAAATTCTCATTCACTAGGTCATCATTTTCAGCCACACTCACATCATCAATTACACTATTATCTCCAGAATCGGACGACGACAAAAACGAATAAAGAAACGCAGTAAACGAAGACGTATCAGGTCCTTCAACCTCTGACTCACTTCCCTTCAACTCACCATCATCCTCTTCTTCTTCCTTAACAACAACACAATTAAACCATTTTTTTAGAAACTATAGAATAAAAATTAATGCAATAATTAACGATATAATTTAGGTTAATCGAATTGAACCATAAGAGAAAATTTATTGAGAACTTACAGAAAGAGGAAGAGAGGGTTTGTTATGGTCAGAAATAGGGTTGAGAAGAACAGTGGTGAGATCCGAAACAAGATGAACTGCTTTACTCCGCAACGATTCTTTTTTACCCATTTTTGGTTCGATTCCTATTTTTAGAATTCTTGAAATCAATAATCAATTTCCACCGTATAATTTTTTTAAAATAATAATAATAACGATACTGATAACATTTTGATTCCTATATTTTCTCACCGATTAGTTATGATGAGGTTGGTTCACCGTACATTTTATAATCGATTTTTTCTCCGGCGAACACGTATATCATAAATGAAATTTGTAAAAGGCGAAACAAGTGGCGCCGGAAGGGTTAGGAAAATATTGTGATGTTTAAAACAGATAGATATCGTCGTCGTTGTTGTTGTTGATGATTATGCCGGTGGAGAAGCGCTTTCCGGTTGTTGAGACATAAAACTTGTTCTACCCGCTAACGTGTTCATAATCGCCTTTCTGATTAATCGGTCACTCGGTGGCAAAGGCTGCAAAAACAAGAGGTCAACTAAAATTGCACCAAGCAAATTTTACTAATATTCTTAATATTTTAATTGAATATTTAAATTCCCTATCAACAACGACTTCATGGCCCAATGGATAAGGCGCTGGTCTACGGAACCAGAGATTCTGGGTTCGATCCCCAGTGAAGTCGTTATTGAAATTTTCATTTTTTTCCCACTTTTAATCTTTCAGTCTATTCGCTTTTATTTCGTTAGAAAACATATATTGATTATTTTTGTCTGTAATTTTCACGCAACGATTTATTTTCCTCAATATTCCTAAACTAACTATTCATCTAAATTACAAATAATAAGAAACAATATATATATTGAGAATAACAATCTTTCGTTACTTCATTAGTCTAATTTAAAATTAAAATTATTTTCAAATTTAGCAAATGAATTATTAATATTATGTTTGTGTAACTGGAACTGAAATTAAATTGTTTAAGGAAAATTTTGAATTTAAGTTTTGAAAGTGACAAAAAGTGTTTTTTTTTTTATAGGAAGTGGTTCTAATCGGTTTTAAAAAAAAAATACTCGAATCAGTAATAATTTTATTGGTTTGATTTAGTTCGTTACTTCATTAGTCTAATTTAAAATTAAAATTATTTTCAAATTTAGCAAATGAATTATTAATATTATGTTTGTGTAACTGGAACTGAAATTAAATTGTTTAAGGAAAATTTTGAATTTAAGTTTTGAAATTGACAAAAAGTGTTTTTTTTTTAATAGGAAGTGGTTCTAATCGGTTTTAAAAAAAAAATACTCAAATCAGTAATAATTTTATTGGTTTGATTTAGTTTGGTTTTTAATCCTTTTTAATAATAAATCGAATTAAATTAGTTAATTTGGTTTGATTCGGTTCGATTGATCAGTTTGTAATATTTTTTTTAAACATTAATTTTATTTGTGTATTCTCCTATATCATTTACAAAAATTAACACTTGACCGTTACTGATCGTACTTGATCAGAAGAGATCGTCAAGACCCACAAGCTTCAAGTCGGATAGCGGGTTGAGTGTGAAGTGGAGAGTACCTGCAAGACACTCTGATGTCAAAGTAAGGATCAGAGTAAGTGCAATTAGAATGTGAGAGTATGGATGAATGAATGAATATCTGACCCTCTCAAGTGAGAGGGTATTTATAGCCTCCAACGCTGGGCCAATGTCTTCAGTAATGGATCACAATGAGGCCCAATAACGAAGACTGTCAGGAGACTGTCAACGTCTATGTTGTACTACTGCCCTAGCGGCTAGATCCACAACAAGTTGGTGATAGGTGACCTCAGGGTCGAGTCCGGGCATCTCTGCAGCGCTCCATGCAAACAGTTCAGCATTCTCCCTCAAACAGGCTTTGAGTTGTTTCCTTGCCAGGTTGGGGAGTTCGGCACCGAACTTTATGCCTCTGTTCGGGTCTTCGCCGAGAGGGATGAACTCGAAGTCTTTGTCTGGGATGCGTCGGAGAGGATCTTGTTTGCCATTGGGGGCCTCGACTTTATCTTTATCAAAGCGGGTGTCGAGTGCAATAGAGTCGGCCTTTGGTAGAGCCTGTTGTTCTTCGACTCGAGCAGGTTTGTCGGTCAAGATAGCCGCTGTTATCGAGGTGGTTGCCATTTTAGTAGGTCGTTCCCCAGTGTCAATGATGTTTTGCCCTTTAGAAGCTGCGTCGAAACATCTCCTGGCAGCTGAAATGTCTCCATGGATGGTGGCGACGCGTACCCTCTTGGTGTAGAACTTCGTCTTTGAGGGTATGTCGGTCAGCTCAGCCAGTGTTGGTCTCCCTAGGATGCAGTTGTAGAGAGACAGGCAATCGATCAATAGAAACTGCACTTTAACCTGTCGGGATGCAATTTCTTCCTTGAATGTAACAAAGAGCTCGACGTAGCCCCATGGCTTAGAGGTCGAACTGTTAAATCCTTACAGATAGGACCACATGTATGGTGATAGATGGGTATCGTTGAGCTGCAGGGTATGGAACATGTGGGTGTACATGACATCAACAGAACTCCCCTCGTCAACCAGGATACGATGTACATCAAAGTTGCCCATATTTGCCCTCTCCAGCAGAAGAATACTGGAGTTTGGGGCTCTGGCGAGAAGCTCCTCAAGATAGAAGATGATCGGCTCAGATTTTCCCTTGAATCTTTCAAGGGTTAGAGCCTGGATCGGGGTTGCGTCCACCAGCTCGTTGAGTTTCCTCTTTGCTGAATTCACTCAGATGTCATTGAATCCCCTGTCAAATATGACAATGGCGGATGGGAACTTCTCCCATCTGCTGTGGGTGAACAAAGGTTACTCATCTCCAAAGTTGTCGGGGATGTGGAAGGCCTCGGGCCTTGAGATATAGAAGATTACCTGGAGGGGACCAGATTCATCCGATGGTCGGGTATCCTCCTCGATTTCCTTAACCTCGCAGGTATCCTGTTGAGGGGAGTCATTTTGCTTGTACTGCCCGAGTCTCCCTGCCTTGATGAGAGTCTCAATGGCATCCTTAAGGTAGATGCAGTCTTCGGTCAGGTGACCGTGGCTCCGGTGATATTGATAATATTTTATTCTATCGACCCTGGGCTTTACAAAGGCGGGTCGAGGATGCCTGACCCCTTTGTCCTTGAACTCAATATTGGAGCACTCCACAAAGATACGCTCACGGGAAGCGGTCAACAGGGTGTACTCGGTGAACCGCCCGGCTGGTCCTCTGTGCTTGCAAGGTTTCTCCTTCATTCTCTTCTCCCCAGTCCATCAAGGAGGGCCCGCAACATGGTGTCGTGGAATGCTAGTTGGTCTGCAGTTCCTCAAATCACAGACCCTGTTAGCTGCCTCTTTTTCCTCGTAGTTCATATATGCTCGAGATTTTTCGAGGAGGGCGTCAAAAGACCTGGGGGTTCAATGTCGACGGCCATCCTAAATTTAGTGCCCGGGAGGAGTCCCCTCTCGAGCAGGTATATCTTCATGTGGTCGGCACATGGGACCTGAATGGCCTCACGATTGAACTGATCAATGTACTCTTTGAGGGTCTCGTCGCTTCTCTGGACGATTGCCTCGAGGGCGGTCTCAGTCTTCAGATGCCGACGAGATGCAGTGAAGTTGCTGATGAATTGGTTTTTGAGGCTCCTTCATGAGGTGATCGGCCCAGGGGAGAGGTTCTTATACCAATCCATGTTGTTTTCCTCGGCATTGTGGAGAATAACTTTCATTTAATTGGGCCTCCAACATTGTGGTAGTGGAGCATTGCCTCAAACCCGTTGATGTGGTCGACCGGATCAGCAATGCCTCCGTACTCATTCAGCAGGGGAGGCTTATCAATTCCTTTAGGAATGAGAGCCTTCATGATGGCTTGGGATAGTGGACCGCGGGGGTCTTCTTCGTCACTTCTTTCTGGGGAGCGAGAGGGGGACCAGTTGTAGTGGCAGTCTTTGTGCCGCCTTATGCCACAGGGAGGGTCCCTTGGCTAAGACTATTTTTCTTCATTCCCCCTATTTCTTTTACATACAGGGGATCGTCACTCCTTGCGCGGGGTGTGTGACTGTGCTTCTTAACAGCTTCGGGCTGGTTCCTCTCCAATGCAAGACCTCGCCTAGTTCAACAGGGAGAAGGGCTTCGAGAGTCATCTCGTCTGTGTCTCTATGGAGGAGACCAAGAGTGGTCCTCATTCCGGGGAGGAGGAGTTTAAGAATCGGGTATTCTGTGCTTTTTGGGGTCCCGAAGAGTCTATTACAACATCATCAGTCTCTCACCCTGTGATAAGATCGTGTAATTGGTCTGGTTGATTGCCTCAAACAGGGCTTTGGTTGTGGCATCAGCACCTTCAGGAACGAGGATCTCCTGATATGCATTGGGTTCATGATTCTGTGGAGGATGGTAGTCTTCGTCGCATGGTTGCAAGTGGGTGGATGAAGAGGCAGTCAGTCCTTCCCTGTGGTCTTTCTCGGGGGTGGTCATGTTGTTGTTGTTGGCCGTGTTGTTGTGCCCAGCATCGGCGAAGCGAACATTCTGGTCATTATTGAAAGCTTGGTTGACCATGACAATCGGAATGTTGATAAAGAGTTGCTTTGGTCTTGAGTGAAAGACGGGGAAGATGATTCCCACAGGCGACGTTATTGATCGTACCTGATCAGAAGAGGTTGTCAAGGCCCACAAGCTTCAAGTCGGGTAGCGGTTGAGTGTAAAGTTGGGGGGGGGGGGGTACCTGCACAACACTCTGATGCCAAAATAAGGTTCAAAGTAAGTGCAAGTAGAATGTGAGAGTATGGATGATGAATGAATACCTGACCCTCTTAAGTGAGAGGGTATTTATAGCCCCCGACGTTGGGCCAAGGTCTTCAGTAATGAGCCACGATGAGGCCCAATAACAAAGACTTCCAGGGTTTACGGGTGTATGGAGTCCAGCACGTGGCCTCCTCCTTGGTCAACTTCCATCGAGAAAGAAGGGAAGTTGGACCAGTTATTCTCGGAGGACAGGATGATGACGCTATAGACACATGAGTCATATTCTCCTAGTGGGCACGTGGGGAAATGCCCAAAGGTTCCCAGTTTGGACTGCACGCTTTTGGGCCTTTGTAAAGGCGCTGGATTGGGTCTT